TTATGTATTATCGGTTGTATTAGTACAACTGGTACGTTTTATTGTGTAGATAATTCTCTCAAAATTATTTGATTTTAAATATAAGTAATTATATTTTTTATTAATTATTATTGTTTAATTATACCATTTGTTGTACTATTACTATTATTGCATATTATCTGTAGTATTAGTATAACTGGTACGTTTTAATGTGCAGATAATTTTCACATAATTATTTAATTTATTTCGTAATTATTATTATTTTTTTAAAACCCTAATTTCCTTTATAATATATATATATATATATATATATTACTAAATATATATTATATATTATCTATAATATATATATATAATATATACTATATACTATATATATATATATATATATTATATATATATGTTATTAATATATGTATGTATGTATGTAATGTATATTATCGTTAAGTCTCTCTCTCTCTCTCTTCGTTTTTCACGCCGCTGCCCCTGTTTCCTTCTTCTCTCTCACGTTTAGACTCGACTGCTTCCCCCTTGCCTCCGGCCAACCAACCGCGCCCGCCTTGCCACTCGGAACCCGCGCCCTCCTCCCAGCGCCGAGTCTCTTCAACCCTGCATTACCTTTCTCATCTTGCTTCTCTCTTTCTTCGCCCAACCCGCTGCTTTTTCCAATCGCAGCCTCTTCCCTCATCCGGGCCGACCACCCACCACCCCCTCATCGTCGTCACTGCCAGCCGCTGGCACTCCGCTCCTCCCATCGTCATCCGCTGTTCAGATCCGATCAGATTCGCCCACCTTAGTATCGTCGCATGCCACCTATTTGATCATATGCTAACGCACATCTAGTTGGAGAACCGCCACCTTGTAGCCGCCAGCCAGCCGTCGGAGCCCCGAGACATTCAAACTACATCCGAGGCAAGATCCCGCTTCCCTTTGCTTCATTATTTTAATATTTATATCTAATTAATTAGTTGTGTAGATTATACTGGTATGTATTTATCTACTTGGGTTATTGATAATACTACGGTGGTGATATTTTGTAAAGTGATACTATATATAATGAGTGGATATGTTGAAAAATAGTTTATGATTAATTACGAAATGTTTTTAAAAGAAAGAATATATTTAAAGATTATTTTTAGAATTATTATGATGAGAAAAGAATTTATTGGGAAAATAGGTTGGTTTTGAATAATTATTAAAATAGATAATTTAAAATAATTTATTTTGAAAAAACGAGTTATTTTGAATTGTTAAACTATTTTGAGAAAATATTATTTTGGAATAATTATTATGATTTAAAGGAATTTTATTTTGAAAAATAATTATTTAATTTGGAATTAATTAATTTATCATCTTGTGTTGATGGTATTAGACTGCGACATTTCATGTGTAAAACGATCACGGTTTTCAATTTCCTTTTTGATCGTAGTTATATTAGATGTTATTTAGTTGATGATAATTTTATGATTAGTTTAGAAGTTTGAATAACAAGATATTAATGAAACTAGATTACATGCATGATTTTACTGTTCATAATTACATTTTATGTTTTGCGATTTATTTTAATGTATATGACTTGCCATCATGTTATTACATAGAATCAGTTAGATTTATTTACTATTTCTTGTTGTATTTTGAGAACCAATAGTAGTCCATGACTTAGTGGCTTTGTGCGTCATGAATAGACCTAGTGACATGTGTGGGTGTGTTGACTGGAATTAGGGGGTAAACCAGAGTTTTAATAGGAATTTTGATTGTTGACTTAGAAAGAATGAGAATAGTTGGGATGAGGAAGTCCTTATTCATGTGATCGGATATAGCTATTGATGTATCTTCCAGGCTCGCCCCAGGATCCAGTGTAGCTTGGGGTTGGTTTGTTGGGTCAAAGTGAAGCCAGTGTAGTCACTTTGGTCCGTAAATTTGACATTCACCCGAGTTTAGCCTGAGTTCGAACCAGGTTAAAATTAGATTGCGTGTAGTCCTTTGACCGATCCAGTGTAGCGGCATATTAGGTACACGTAGGGGATTTATGAACAGTCAGTTATCCGATGATATGAGCGTTGACTCTGTATGAGATGTGGACCAGTGAGTTGTAGGATGGCTAGTATTCGACCCGGTTACCATATGCAGTTAGCTTTATATTTATCATGTTTTAGTAGTGAAATTACATGTTGATTTTGTTGGATTTCCAGTTGCATGTTTTTTGTCATTTCTGTTGTTGTGTCATTTTTCGCATTGGGTTTTCATTCGTTCTTTTCTTTTGTGGGGTCTTGCCGTGTGTCATGCACACTGACGTACACATGTTTTCTCTGGTGTACGTCAGACTTAGAGAAAGGACAGGTTTAGCAAAAGCCAGAGTATTCTTAGCAGAAGTGCCTAGCGGACGAAGCAGAAGAAGAAACCGAAACTTAGTTATTCTTTTCAGTTTGTTTTGGTAGCACTTTCATTTCCTTACAATTAGTGTACTTTTATATCTCTCTAGTATTCAGTTGGATAGTTTTGTAATAAGGGTGTGTTTGATCCAAATATTATGTCTTGGATGATATTTCTTTGATGATATGGATCATTTTGTTCCGAGTTTGTCTATTATATCCTTGCTAATTATGATCGGGGACCTATGCCTTTGCATTTATTTCTTGATGCTTAGCGTATCAGGTGGAGGAGAAATATTTATTTTTATTTACTCTCCTTAATCTAATACGTCGTGGGCTTGTTTACGTTCCGATTCCCGATTTTTTGGGAAGCGGGGCGTGATAGTATAATTAATGAGTATAATAAAAAACTAAACTCAATATGAAATCTAGCTTAATGAAATAGTTAATCAACAAATATATTGTAGACAAAAAAATTACCTATAGGTTCTCGCACATAGCTCGAGATGAAAAAAGACGATGAATGTTATTATCCAAGTCAAGAAGGATTATCTGAGTCAAAGAAGATCATTCGATATTGTAGAGAAGCTAAAAAGCATATGAAGTAAGTCGGCTAAGCGTACGAGTCTGTGAAACATGCTAAACGATAAAGGAACAACTCAACCGGGAGTTGTGCCTCGCCCACAAAAGGGTGAAGTACCATGTGTGTCTCGCCTACTCCATGAGTGTCTTGCCTATGGGAGGTTGTAGAGCTCTTCGTAATCTTTCCAACGCATCTTGGATCACCTCATTCCGAGATCGGACGAGTAAGTTAGAGCCAAAATAGCCGAGACAGTACAAATTATCTCGGAAGTGCGAGACAGTCACAACTGTCTCAGAATGCGAGATAGTTACAACTGTTTCACACCAAATATGAAGAAGGTCAAAAGACAAAAGTTGTAGATATCTTTGTCAGATTTTCAACGCATCTTGGATCATCTTATTCTGATATCGGACGAGGGAGTTAGATCCAAAATACCCTAGATAACACAAACTATCTCGGAAGTGCGAGACAGTCACACTTGTCTCGGAATACGAGATAGTTACAACTGTCTCACACTAAATATGAAGAAGCTTAACAAAAAAGTTGTATATCTCTTCGTCGGCTTTCTAATGCATCTTGGATCATCTCATTCCGATATCGAACGAGGAAGTTAGAGCCAAAATAGCCGAGACAGCACAAACTGTCTCGGAAGTGCGAGACAGTCACAACTGTCTCGGAATGCGAGATAGTTACAACTGTCTTGCACTAAATATGAAGAATGTCAAAAAATAAAAGTTGTAGATCTCTTTGTCAGCTTTCCAACGCATCTTAGATCACCTTATTCCGATATCGGACGAGGGAGTTAGAGCCAAAATACCTGATATAACACAAACTATCTCGGAAGTGCAAGACAGTCACAACTATCTCAGAATGCGAGACAGTTACAACTGTCTCGCACCAAATCTGAAGAAGCTCAGAAGATATAAGTTGTAGATCTCTTCGTCAGCTTTCCAACATATCTTGGATCATCTTATTTCGATATCGGACGAGGGAGTTAGAGCCAAAATAACCGAGACAGCACAAACTGTCTCGGAAGTGCGAGACACACAGCCCTGTCTCGGCCACAGAGTTGCTTACAACACGTTTTTTGACGATTTTTTGGCTTCATAACAGCTTGAGATCAACCATAAACGTGGGGAGATAGTTACAAACTGAAAATAGGCCCACTAACCTTATAAAAAGATGGTATTTAAGTAGTGGGACGGCGGTTACAAAAGGGGCTGGGTATTTTTAGAGCAAATTCAAGAGCATAGAGCACAGAGAGCAGAGAGGCTTGGGCGAATTTCAAGAGTTCATCTCCTTCCAACAATTAGGAGGTTCCTTAAGATCTAAGCTTTGACTTGGTCTTGAGAAGAGTGTTCATCTTACTTCGATAAGATATTCACTGACTCTATTCTTGCTTCTAAACGAAGGAAGAATCCCCAAAGCCTTCACGATTCAATCAGAATCCGTGATTCGGTGGTCCACCGGGCTAACGCACCCCCGGCACAGGCAAAGATCCCGCGCAAGTAGCGATCCAAACAACGATCCTGTGTTTGTTTCTAAGGAGCTTGTAATTTGATTTTTGTTGTAAAGAGTAGTTTTATAAAGTACAAAGCTCACTCTTTTGTATTCATTGTAATCGATAAACAGTTATAATGAATTCTACAACAAAACTTGTTCCTGACGCAAACACACATATATATGTATATATATATATATATATAATATATATAATATATATTATATATATATATAGAGGAATATGGGTATAACTTGGGCCAAGGATTTTGGTATGATGTGGACACATCTTGTCCATGACATCACACTTGAAGTTGGTGAGGCTCCATCTCAAGTGTGATGTATGGACAAGATGTGTCCCAGCATCATACCAAGGATCTGCTGTAGCAAGTAATACGCATGTTTCTCATATATAATATATATAGTATATATACGTATATATAGTATATATTATATATATATATATATATATATATGTATATATAGAGAGAGAGGAGAGAGAGTCGCATTTCTAGTGCGGACACTAATTGCGTAGCATTTATACGCTGCAGGGTTTTTTTTGAAAATTATCCACCCATTTTAGCCTCTCGTGACCACTCTCTCTCGTGACCCCTATTCCCAAGAGAACTCCCCAGACCCTCACCCTCTCTCTCCCCAAACCCTCACCCCGTCGGAGACCCTCCCTCCTTCCTCTCTCGACACCGTCGCTGACGTATTTCCACTGTCGACCTCCTCCTCCGACTCTGCCCCAACTCCCCAGACCCTCACCCATTTTCTGCGCTGCGGCGATCACGCCGTCGAGCTCCTCCTCTGTGATCTAGGCATTGACCTCCTCCTCCGCCTTCACCTATCCTCCTCCACGATCTCACTGTCGAGCTCCTCCTCCGTGATCTCGCCATCGAGCTCCTCAGGTGAAATCCCCATCCCGTCCCAGGCCAAAACGAGGTCCCTCTGCTCCCTTCCTCCTCAGCAAGCCCCAACGCCGGCACGACACCGTAGTCGTGAGGTCCCCCCGTCCCAGGACCAAATCGAGGTCCCTCTGCTCCCCCCCTCCTCCTCCGCGAGCACCAACGACACTGTGATCTCTCAGGTGAAATCCCCATCCCTCTTGATCCCTCTCTTCTCTCATAATCATTTTTTAAAAATAATAATGTTTACCATTAATCGAATAATAATTATATTTGAACAATACAACTGACTATTTCTTCTAGGACAAACTGCATATTTCGCAAATCTGTAGATAGAAGATCTCAGGCTTATGCTTTGTAGGGCGTAGGAATTAGAAGCAACATATTCGTTTAATTTTTACAATTATTGGAAACATCTAAAACTTGAAAGAGGCAGTGTTAAAACTGGAAAACTGTGATAAATGAAACATCAGCTTGTACCTAACAAGGAAGAATTTTGTAATAATGCATCTATAGAAATATATTAGATTTTGTGGGTCAGAATTATTGTCATATATAGAAGAAAATCCAATTAAGAATAAGGGAGCACCATTTTGAGATGGTTTGCTCATTGCAATGATGCTTGATATGATAAGAATTGAGCACAAATTTGTAGGTTATCCATAGCAAGAAAGCGTTTTTATATTGTGAAGAGAGGTCGACAATGTGGTATTTTTTTATAATTGGGAGGAATGTAAATTCGCTGTAGATAAATTTCCAAATACCTCCTACAAAGGGTTTGCAACGTACGAAGAGACTTTGATTGAATGGGAGAAGCACACCATCGATCGTGATTCAACATCCAACTCAAGGCCTGTCCAGACACCGGTTCAATTTTAACAACAAATATTTCTGGAGCAGCATAATCTAGATAAGGACAAGAAAAAATTTAGAGAAACTGTTATTTCCCCGATCTATGTTTTTTTATTATGTTCAATGTTTACAATATTAATATTTGTAGTATGTATCGTTGCAGTATTTGTTGGCTTCTCCATTGTAAAAAGTATGTGATGTGATTTGTAAGTTGTTATGTGATGTAATATTTATGCATCTTATATTTAGGACTTTAGTTGCGAGGGGAAAACAGCCTAATACTTCTTGTTGTGTAAATTTGTGTAAATTTGTTTTTTACCAAGTTCTTTGAACCTGTCAATACTCTTGTCAGGTTTGGAATGAGATAATGCATTGATTGAATTTGATATTTAGAAGTTGTGAGTGAAGATACTAGTGTTCATGGTTTACTAATATGAGGGATAATTCATTTCATAAGAAACAGAAAGTAGCTTGTTTTGTTACTTGTATATACTGCTTATGGATGGAGAGGAATAAGAAAACTTCACAGTGAAGAAGAAACTGGGTTTTGATTACTTGTTTTGAGTGATATGCTTCAAATCCTGTCAAAAATCAAAACTGGGTTTATACTCTCAAATGACTGTCGTATGTATTTTGAACAACCACAACAAAGCATTTGCATTACCAATGAAATAATTTGACAAGAGAACTGATATAATATCTTTTACCACCCAGCCACCCCAAATCAATACAGTAAACATACCTTTTATGAAAATTTCTATAAAACCATAATACCCAAGTCCAACACATAAATTTGCAGATACATTGCTTTCCAAACACAAAAGACCCAAAACATGGACATATTAGATTACCCAAGGCTAACAACATATCTTTGTACATCACAAAAGACCCAAACTTGACCCTAACATATGCTGGAAACAAGCCAATACACACAAGCTATGCGGGAACAACCTGTAAGCCACATCTGTAAGAAATGAGAAAATTAAAGATTGATACAGAAAATGTAAGCAAACAAAAAGCAAAAAAGATATCAATTGCAACAAAGAAGATTACCTATAATGCATCAAAGAAATACTCACCAGGTTCATTCAAAAAGATTCACACAATCTTCACTTGATGACCCATTACCCTCTTGCAAATTTGAATCACCGCATGTAGAAGACCTACATTATATATATATATATATATATATAACCACACCCGTGGTAACGTCTATCTTTTTTATTTTTGGCTCTAGCCATTGCTTTCTCTTTTCCTCCTTTCAACCTTTTGTCGCACCATTTGCTCACACTTGATCGGGTTCATTGAAACTATTTTGAAAAGTACAAGAACCACGCACACTAGTACCATCACCTATTATATTACTACCTATTGGATTACTTTTCTTGGGGAAACTCATTACAGCCATGCTGCTACTAAGAAATTGGTCAATTTGCTCATTAATGCTACACAGTCCATCGATAAACATCTTCCTTGTTTCTTCACATACGAGGGACTTGTGAACTAAATCCAAAGATGATTGGATAAATTAACTTTGCATTAAAAGATAAGAATTTCCAAGAGTTAAAAGCATGCCTTTATCATCATCCACTGTCCCCGATTTTGCAGACTTAGTCCACCTCTTTAAGATGTATTTATCGGGCAATATTTCAGCATCAAATTTCATCAAATATGAGATAATATGCGTACATGGGATTCTGACACTTTTTTGAACTTTTTACAACTACAAGAAACCAAATCCAAGTTCTTGTCATAAACGATTTCGCGGACTTTACTTGTTGCGAGTTTCTTTCTTTAAATTTGATACACACGGTGATTGTCAGTTTTCCTAACAAACTGCAACTTGTAGTTAAAGCTGTCACACACTTCAGCCTCAAACTTGTAATACATCTCATTCTCACACACTTCAGCCTCAAACTTGTAATACATCTCATTCGTGTAAATATCAACCATTTGCTCCAAAAAGTCATGATTTATTCTAAGTTTAGGTTTCTCAATTACATCTTTGTGATTGGCCATCAACTCCTCATGACGTTAGCGCACTAGTCCCCTGCCAAACTGTATCATAAAATCCACCAATAAATTATTCTTTGAAACAAATTTCTTGAAAAATGCATGTCCACTTTCTGATCGTTGACTACTTGACATGTCAGCTGAGAAAACATGATTAACATATGCATGAATCCATCTTGACCGAAATTCATATTGGTCTTGTAATCACTTGTTTCCTTCTAACCCACTTTTCTTAATCAGACTTTCCCATTGTAAATCAAATTCTTCAGGAGTCTTTGATTTCCAAATGCAAGCCGAGAACTCACTCTTATAAATACTATACTTCACTACATCAATTTTCTCAGGAAACTTCATTAATATATGCCAACTACAATACCTATCAAAAGAAATAAATAAAGTGTTAGAAAGAAAGTCTATGTATATAAATATTTTCCATAATATATACAAACTATAATATCTGTGAAAAGTATTTGGAAGAACAAGAGGGAATGCCTTAGTCATAACTGGGTCTTGATCGGTAATAATCCTCTTCGGGGCACCACCATGCATACTTTCCAAAAATTGATTAAATAACCATACAAAATCATCAACGCTCTCATGATTTAAATATTCACAAGCAAAAACAATTGTTTGACCATGATTGTTAACCCCCATTTTCGGTGCAAATATCAGGCCATAGCGATTAGTGTTATAAGTAGTATCAAAGATTACAACATCACCAAAAAATTGTAAGCCCGCCTTGAACTTGCATCAGACCAAAACCAACGAGTAATATTTCATTCCTTATCGGTCTCAATTTGAAAAGTAAATGAGGGATTCTTTCCTTGTTCCAATTTTAAATACTCATAAAACATTTCACCATCATGCCCCTTCATATCAGCACGTATATCCTTTTCATGATTATACAAATCTCTTTAAGTGCACCCAATATTTTTTATACCTCCAGATTGTACTTCAAGAAAACTAAATTGTTGATGCTGAGGTATATTCATATGCAGGACCGGCCCTGGGGTAAACCCACCAAGCCCCGGGGCTGGGGCAACCTAGGGCCGGGGGGCAACCATCGCGATTATATTATTCACCCCTCAAACCGTAATAATTTTCAAAGTGGACTTTGTAAGAGGACTTTTATGCAAAAATTGTTAGGGATTCTATTAGTAAAAAAACCCTTATTAATACCCAAAGCCCTATCCAACTCCTCTTTCATTTCCGTCAGCCTCCTCTCCTTCTTCTCGTTTTTGTTCCGCCGCTCACAAAAAAAAGAAAAAAAAACAGAGAGAATCTGAATCGACGGAGACACTGCTCTGTTCCGTCGTCTCTGTTCCGCCGTCTCTGTTTCGTCAGCCTCCAACTCCTCCTTCCCGTCTCTGCTCCCATCCTTCGGACCACCCCGCTGACTCCTCCTCCGACAGTTCGATCCAGTCACCCAAAAGACAGAGAGAATCTGAATCAACTTATCGACGCCGACGGCCGATCGGTCCATCAAAGAAACACAATCATGTAATTTTTTAAATAAATAATTTTAGGGTTTTTTGGACGGAAATTTGGGGTTTTGATGTTTTGCAATGAAATTAAGATTTCTGGTTCTGAATCTTGGCTAAATATTAGTTGTTGAATTAGGGGTTATGATGTTTGGGCGGTTTCGTCTAGGTTTTTGTTTTGAAACTGGAAATTAGATTTGATTTAGCTATTTGGGTGGCACAGTTATGCCTTCTGACTAGTTTCTCACGGTCTCCATAAGTTTAAAAGAAGCTTAAAGATAGAAAGAGGAAATAATATTTACTTGTTAAAAAGTTCATCTCCCTTCTAGTCATCTAAAACTCGAAAATCCTAATGGACGATAATCTGATATATTTCTATTTGGTTTTAATTATAATCTCAAACTTTGATTTGATGACATTCATATTATTGGATTGATATCTAGATTAATTGTTTGATTGTTTTAATAATAATGATATTGCTAAGTCTTCGTTCCGGCATCAGTTTAGTTGATTGTTGTGATTTCATATATGTTTTCTTCGCACTAACATGTCACAGGATTGATTGAATGGATTGGCAATGATATCAATTGAAACTGAATACTTCGAGAAACTCGAGTATGATGACTTAATTGAAGAATTTGCTTCAAAAAATTCAAGGAAAAGTGTTTTTCTTTGAATTAAATTGTAGCACAAATGTAATTTTTTCTTATATGAATATTGATTTTGCAAGAAAATATTATCAGTTTGAGCCCAATATTGAATGCTAAATGGTATTATATGTATTCATTTTTATTATTTTTGTTTGTACCAAATTTTTAATATAAGGGGCAACTAAAATTGGATTGGGTTAGGACAACCCAAATCTCGGGGCCGGCCCTGTTCACATGGAGAACTTTTTAGTTAAAGACTTTGTTACGGCTAAAACGTTACGATGGGACCTTAAAAGATGAACCTTTGATGGTGTTGATAGCGGGTGGCTATGCTCCTCATTAAAAATAGTAACAATGTATTTTTCGGAGTTTGATTTTAAAACTGTAATTTTGATAGTACAATCCTCAGCTAAGCTTCCTTGACGTCTTTTCTTTCCAACATCTGCGATTCTTGAAGATTTTCCTTGTTTAAAACAAACATACCCATTCCTTCTTATTTCACCACTTCCCGTCTCTTTCTGAGTAGTCCAAGCCCTTACACTAAACCCAGCTGCTTTAGCATAAGCATTGTAGAATGTCACACTCTTTCTGAGTAGTCCAAGCCCTTACACTAAACCCAGCTGCTTTAGCATAAGCATTGTAGAATGTCACAACATCATCTATTGTGGCAAGCCCTTACACTAAACCCAGCTGCTTTAGCATAAGCATTGTAGAATGTCACAACATCATCTATTGTGGCAAATTATTGCCCTTTTTTTGGCCTCAACTCATCTGATACTTGAGGAGTATATATCAAACTATTGTCATCCAAGTTTACTTCATTAGCTTCATTTTGACAGCTAGCCCCTACTTCAGTGTCCAAGTTTTCTATTTCTCACAAAAGCTTCGATACCTGCAACCACAGAGACTGAAAATTAGGTGTCGAGGTTCAAGAATTCATCATAGGCTAGAGGTTTGAGTCGCGGGTCAACCAAAAGGCATTTATTTCGTTGATTTCCTCTAAATATTTTCAAAAACAAAAGAACCCAAACCAATTAATCAACAGATTGCCATAATTAAACTAATCATCAATCAAAATATGTAGGGGAAAAACAAGTTGAAATGACAAATGCCTATACTGATTCTTTCCCATTTTCTACCAATGAGAATAGGAGAACAAAAGACATCATATCAG